CCATCATCATCCCTCAAAATATTAAATCTGGAGCCAGACTGGCTATTGGCCATCTTCACACCACTAGCCTTATCAGACTTCTTGGGAGAAGAGAACAACTGCCCTTGTTCATGTGGAACCTTCTTTCTGAAGTTTTTTGGTTTCATTAGCATCCATTGACCATGCATCTTAGCTGGAGTCTCAGCAGCCAAATTAGCAGGGTCCACAACAACATCCTCATTTGGAGCGGGAGGAGTACCCTCCATATTCTCAAAAGCTTCTTCCTCAGCAGCCTGCTTTTGCTTAGCCTCCATAATAACAGGGCAAGAATCTCTACCATGACCAAAACAACCACATTCAAAGCAGACTAGCTGAATCCCCTCATAAACAACCCCATAAGTACGTCCCTCAACTTCAATAAAGGGGATAAGAGGCTTCGATAAATCAAGCTCAATGCACAGCCTAGCAAACTTACCTCGAGCTTGACCCATAGTATGCGCATCCACCTTTACGGTAGTACCAATGAGATTTCCAATTTTCGTCATAACATCAGTACGAAAAAACTCCACATTCAACCCATTGATTCGAACCCAAGCTGTCATGTGAGTAACCCTCTCTTCTTTAGCATTAAACCCAGGTTTCCAATTTTGAGTCACAATATATTGCCCAGCAATTTGCCAGGGACCGCCAGTGAGCACATACCTCTTATCTTCCTCAAGAAGAAATTTGACAATGAAATCATTGTTTTCCAGATCAACTAAACTCATTGGACCCTTCAACTCCCAGCGTTGAAGCAAGCGATCACGCAAGAAAGTATACGAAAGAGGCCGACCCATTAGCTTAATAATCACAGCAGTCCTCCAAGGCCTGTACAAGCAATCCTTAACCCTTTCAGAAAACTCAATGGATGGAATAGCCCCATGCTTGATTACAACATCATCATCACTGATATCAAACTTATCCTCAGCCATCCCAAAATCACCACAGACTTTATCTTTGAAGCTCATTGAAATTGGGGGCAAGGAAGGAGGAAGCACATCAGAATCCAATCCACCAACATCCAACATCTCTCGGGTACGAGCACGCTTCTCTTCAGCAACCAGACCCTCCTTCGAGCCACCACCAGCAGCGAACACAAACTCAGATCCATCCGCCACCATGGACGGTGGAACGGTCACAGCACAGCGAGAAGCCAAAAGATCGTGAAATCCCTAGAAAAACCCAAGCGCGTTCTATGTGAAAGGCTTTTCAAACACTCAACTTGCTTTGGGTGTGTTTTTAAAGTCCATTTCATATGGGGTTTTTTTTTTTTAATAATTTGGGCCCCTCTATTGAGTATAATAGTAAATCTCCCAAAAAAATATTGCTAGGCAAGCAGCTTAGTTGCCCTTGCCCTTTGCCATGGCACCATAGGTGAAAGTGCTTTTAGCCATTGTCGGCTGCGCAGATCTCACGGCCTGGGGTTCCGGGCCGAGGGGATGTGCGTTAACACGTGGCTTCCTGCTTTTGGATGCGGTGCGGTTGCGCCTGTTTGAACTCGTCTTCTAATCAAACGATTGTTAGCCGAGAGAGGAATTGATCTCAGCTGTTAGGTTCACGGCCTGAGCTACAAGGCCGTTTAGGGGTGGTGATGATGGTGGGTTTTGGGCGGTGCTCCGGCGCGCTGCTCAGTGAGCAGCGGTCGTATGATATATGGGGTGAATGAATGAGTAACAGAGATGGTGCTCCGGCGCCTTGAAAATCAAGGGTCGTATGATATATTGATGAATGGATTTTCCTTACAAACTAACACTACTCCTAGGAAAGCAAGTAAAGATATTGAAAGTGCACTACAGAAAAATATAATTTGCTCCGTGGGAGGCTTTTGTTTGGTGTTTGAACCCTGTGAATGTAGCTTGAGCCTTGTATTTATAGAAAGAGTTCTTGGAGGAGTAGTCGAGGCTAAAAATCTGCATGGTGGAGCCTGATTAGAGCAAGTCGGTAGTCCAATCGACATTTGGGATCGTGAAGTATGGTGGTGTGACCCCATAAATCCCGGTGAATCTCGGCCGCTGCCCTGA